GAACTACAATACCAATAAGTGATTAATAAAAGTCAAAAGACCAAAGAGGTCACCTTAATACCAAAAAAAAAAAAAAATTATATGTGAACTAATTGTACACTCTTTTTGTAATAGTTTTATATAGATTCATATTTTTAAAAAAATATTAATAAAAATCAAAAGATTCAAAAAATTACTTTAAATATATATATATATATATTTTATCTTTTAAGCAAACTTGTTCAACATAAAATTTTATATATAATTATATTTTTTAAAAGATTTTTATTATAAATAACTATTGGTAATTATTATTATCTCTATTTTAAGATCAAGGTACAGTTTTATAATAAGGTGAACAAATATAAAAGTTTAAATTATAGTTAGAGACAGATTTTAAGAAACTTTGAAAATTTTTACTTAATATATTTGACCTCTAATTCTTTAGTTCTGTTTTTGAGATATTGCACCCTGGTGATAATCACTATGGTTATGATTAGTAAAATTCTTTTTTTTTTTTTTTTTTTTAATATTAAAATCCCTGTCTTTAAGATATGACATTTTTATTTAAGTAAATAGAACATGGTATGCCACTAGAGGCTTATTTTATATTGGAGGTTACAACTAGCTACATATGCAGTGTTAGTGCCTAATTTAAATAGTTTGCTTATATATTACTATATAAGTTTTATACTAGTTGCCATACCTGCAAGCCAACTAGAGGTCTTGTCTATTTAAACTTTCTGTATTGCAAACCATCTTGTATTATAGGAACATCTTCAAAATTATATCTATTCAAGTTCTTGATGCTAATTGGTACCCTTAAGACTACTTTATCCTTGACAGAAAACTTATTAAAGCCTTAATGTTCTATATATACTAACCTAGTTTTATATAACATGTTATAGTTATCTAACACTTGTAGGCATAAGAGTTATCTGTTAAACTGCTACATTACACTATTTCTATTATTGTAAAGTTCACTAAAACCCTAGTACCTATCTTCTTGACATTTTTATCATTATTCTTTATTAGCTGTAACTTAGAACCAGCAGTCTCTTCTAAACTACCGATTCAGATGACTTAATATAATATACTTCTGTATCTTTTTTCTCTAATGAGTTCAGTAATCTGATTAGTTATATGCTTATTTATATATATTTGACATCTAGTTTAACTTTTGGTTCCTATAAAAATGTTTTATAAGCTTCAACCAGTTTGATAATACTGTTAAAAATTCATGCTACTTTTTTAGTCAAAAATTTCTAAGTAGGTTTCTATCACCTTGGTTCTATAATTTTTTATGTCTAGTGATCTTATCGTGGGTTTGCATTGAAGTCTTATACAACACTGATTATATATTCCTCTATGTACATATAACATTATACTTCGCATAGATGCTTTGAGCTCTCAATGTCAGTAGGACCTGACTTGGTATACCTGGGTTACAGCTGCATAAGGCCAACTGATCGACAGAAGACAGTTGCTATAATGAAGATATAATTTCCAAATTTCATCATAGGTGGGATTTGAACCTTAGACCTGTCATTTGGAAGATGATAACCCAACTACTACACTAGGATTGCCATCCTTGATTAGTAAAATTTTTTTTAAAATTAATAAATCTTTTTTTTTAGAAAATTTTATTAATAAAATCTTTCAATTTTATAAAATTTTAAAAAATTAATTTAAATAATTTTATTATATTAATTTTAATATATTTAACTTCAAAATTCAAAAATATGTTATGTAAGTTGAAAAGGATCTTAAACTTTAAGTTTATAATAATTTTATATAATTTTTATTATAAATTATTACACAAAATGACATCTTTCCTAACTGTTAGACAGAAAAGTAGATGTAAAAATTTAAAACTATATAAATAATAGTTGAATTTTTGGATCAAAGACATGAAAAACTAACAAAAGATTATATAAGAAAAGAAAATAAAAAAGAATATATATATAAATATGAATGATCAAAACTAATCAGAAAAAGATAATAACCAGTCTATTAAAAACTATTGAATCAAATTTTATACTAGAGTTAGGCCGTAAATTGATCTTACCTAGGATCGCCGGAAAAAAGTTACTGTCATGGGGTAAATTAAATGATATTTATGAAATGTCGTGTTCAGACAATTCTCAAAATCATGCAAATAACATATAGTCGGGTTAATATAGTATATTGCGATCGAGATTAATCTATTAAGTATTAGATTAATTAGGATGCTAAACAAATTTTGGATAGCACAACGAGTCAGGTCAGGAACTCCAGTCATATCGTTACACGTAGCTTTTTTGTTTAAGATTTACTGTTATTTGAGTAACATAAATGATAAAGGTCTAACTAAATTTGATCTAAACAAAAAACCCTTCTTCAACGAAATATTTGTAAATGAATAAATAAGTATAAATTATGTAATAATTGAAAATTTCATATTTATATATCGATATTATATAAAATATAAATATTTATTATTTTGCGTGTTATATTTACATAGTAATTACGGCGAATACAAATAGTTACCCATTAAAATACCTTCATCCATTAATTTAGTGATACGATAGTAATCAGGAGATATTAATCAATTGTTAAACCTTGAGAATATTGATACGTATAAGAGACTCTGAGGTAGTTGATCAAATAATTAAAATAACTATGATCTTCTATGGTCACCATTCGCACGTACCCCAATATACATACTTAAAATTCTAGATTTGTATTGAACGAATGGTATTAACACTAATTACTCAAAATCTGGTTTGGAGATTAAAAAGATATCGATATTTATTCAATCAATTTATTGATGATTCAAGTTTTGTATGATTTTTCGACACGCTTTCATTTTTAGAATGACCACATTTTGTGAACAGTATAAGTGATACACGTATTATTTTTATTATGCATAACTTAGGTAATACTGTACACATATATATCGATATAATTTTCACACAAAATAAATCCAATGATCAAAATTTTTTTCTTCAATTGTCATAGTGAAAAAGATGGTATTTACAACCTTTTAAATTCTTTTTTTTTTTTTTTTTTGTAATTGATTATTTATAATATATATATATAACTAATATGTCACATAATGGTAGATTCTATATCTATTCATTTTTAGTAGACATGGAAAAATGCGCTTGAAAAAATGGTTCCATTGTTTTTCTGATAAAGAAAAAGCGAGCCTATCAACAGATTTAACTACTTTAATATTATCTCGTAAACGATCAATGTGTAATGTATTGGAACATGGTGAACACAAGGTTTTTTTTTTTTTGTTTACATTACTTTTTATCATAAATTGTGTTGTCTTTTTAAAAAAAAACGTTTAATGCCTATTATTATTACTTAGGTTATATACAAGAGGTAACGTCATTACGAATATTAGTAAATATATATATATATATTTATATTTAAGCTTTTAAGCTTAGGATATCTTTTTTTTTTTATATAAGATATGCTAGTCTTTATTTTGCGGCGGGTATAGATCGTGAAGAAAATGAATTGTATGTCTTAGAAGTGATACATCGTTACGTGCAATTGCTTGATGAATTTTTTGGAAATGTATGCGAATTGGATATTATTTATAATTTTGATAAGGTATACATATATATATTTTTTTAAACAATTTCATTCAATAATTTTCTTAATTTTAGGTCTAATTTTAGGTCTTCTAATTTTATAAATTTAAAATTATTTAGGCGTATCATGTTTTAGATGAATTGATTTTAGGTAATTTTATAAACATATTCAATGTATCAATAATTTACTAATTGATGTTAATTCAATTTATTATTTTATAAAAAGCTGGTGAATTACAAGAACCTGGTAGAAAAGTTGTTATCAGTAAGTTGTTTTTTTTTCTTTATTTTGAAATGATGGTTATCATTCATTTTTACTTGCACCTCTAAATCATATCATATAGGTCACGTAAACGCATTTGAACATGCATGTCAATTGGATATAATAACAAGAAATGTTGAAGATTCTATAATATAGGTTATTATTTGAACCGAGATAGATTCTTTAGTATAATTGTTATTTTCTTATTTTTATTTTTTTTTCTTCGAAATAATATCCAATGGAAAGAAATTTTGTAGAATAACTTTACGTAATATTAGCAGTAATAATTATAAGCATTCAAGCATATAGAATTCAAATATTTTTTTAGAAATTTATAATTAAGTAAACAATCTTAAATAATTAGAAGCTAGTCTTTTTACTCTAATAAAAATTATTTTTATCCTTTATAAATTTGGTAATACACGCATCGTTAAAGATAAGACTGTTCATCCATTCAAGAGCTTTTTATCAATGCCATTCTATCTATTAATAAATCTTTATCTCTCGTATTATAACCATTACTTGACAAAGTTATTAAATATGTAAGATTCGAAAATCTTGTTTTTGTTCGTTTTCGTGTTTGCTTCTGTTTTATTTGGTAAAAATCAACTTTTTAACTGTATAGTCAAATAAGTCGGTACATTTGAGAAGGTGAGCGCGTCGGCAACAAAGATACTGCTTGGTCTACATCTCTATTGGGTTATTATATCAGCATCTCTATTGGGTTATATCGACATCTCTATTGGGTTATATCAACATCTCTATTGGTTTGGCTAAATAACAACTATTACTGATTTTCTGAAAGTATTTCGGATTATCAAAAGTTTCGCAATAGTTTCTACGCCATGTATATGTTATATTAAAATATCTCTATTGGGTCATATCGATATCCAAAGGTTTTTTTTCATATATTTACTACGTATATAGTCACGAAGTAGTTCATCTTTGAATTATCTTTGCATTATTTCGAGACGTTATTTTGAAATTACTATAAACCTGATGTATGTAAATATATGAAATCTACCGATACATTTTGCACAAAGTGCGCGTTATTTTTTAGATAAACAGGTATGATTTTTTTTTTTTAAAAAAAAAAACAACTTTTATTATTAATTAGTTAATTAATTTAAACGCAAAAAATTATATTTCTTTTTTTTTTTTTGTTAGTATCAAAATGGTTTAAACTTTCATCTATTTTATGTTAATATACATATGAACATTTTTAATTAGACACGTAAAATACCCATGTACGTACATACTTGTACATATAGTACCAGTATTTTATAACTGATATAAAAAAGAACTTTATCAATTGATCAAACAAAAAGTACAATTATTAGGACAAAGTGAGCCAAGTATACACAATGATTTGTGAGAGTAAAGATTTACAAATTTAATCATTTTTTCATGCTCTTTTAAAAATTAATCTATAATGCAATGCAATATGTACCAGATTTCATGTAAATGTTCATTGGACATTATATAATTGATATAATTGACATAATTGACCAAGAACATAATCTATTATAAACAAGTGATATTAACAAATGTTATCTTAAGACTTTCCTTTATTTATTCGCGGATCTAAGGTCAACTTCAGCAGCGGTGTCAGCTGGTACTCCGTTAGATAAAATATATAAATAGGTATTCCTTCCCGGAGGCATCATATTCTCATTAGGTGGCATTGTAACGTCTATAGCATATCCTTTATCAGTTGGAATAACACTTTCAACTTTTAGAACAACCATTCTTTGTGACATATGATTTGAATGTGTAACAAAACCATGATGTATCAAACATGCAGTGAAAGTTACTCCTGATTGTAAGTTTAAATCCACTACTATTGTTACAACTTGGTTATAGTTTACTACTATAGCAGTTAGTCCGTTTATAGACGTGGCACCTGCCACGGTTTTCAATGTTGCACGAGGAGCACCAGTTAATAAGTATGGTGGTGTAAACCTCTCAACCCGATATCTTTTTTAAAGAATTATATGTTTAAAAATAATATGTTTAAAAATAATATGTTAGAATAATAATATGTTAGAATAAAATAAAACAAAAGAATGAAATTAAACATACTCTGTTGGATATTCACAGGTAGGACAAGGGGGCGAATTAGGATTACTTCCAGACACAAAGACAGTTCCATCTGGCGTTAGAAAAGCATTTGAATGATAAACTCTAACTATGGTTGATGAAGCTAGAGTAGTCCATCGTGATCCATTGTTTGCCAATGGATCATAAAGAAATGGAGTTTTTATAGGGTTTTGGGCCGAATGAAGTCTATTAGTAGGTGTTCCTGTATCTATAATATTAATATTATAAAGATTAATATTAATTATTATTTTAAATGTTATTTTAAATGTTATTTTAAATGTTAACAAAAAATAATTATAAACATACCCCAGCCTGCAAATCCATTAGCAGCACCGTTTATATACAAAAGTTTTCCATCAGGCATCAAAACACCATCAGCCATAACTCGAGGTTGAGCCGGATTTCCAAAATCTTCGGTTTCCCAAGTAGCATTATCTTTACTTAAATCGATTCTTGCACAAGTACTATCAGCAAGACCTTCAGGTTTCAAATCAAAAGATCCACCACAAAATATTATCATAGCAGCATAATTATTAGTATAATTTAATGGTAATAATGTGGAAGATCCTGTTAATGGATAAGTACGCGGTGAACCAGGGACATCAGGTAATGTTTTTACTACTGTTTGATTTACATAATCCCAAATTTGTGCTTTTTTATTAGCAGACATAAAAAGCCAATTTTGACCTACGGGTCCAGGGAGAACTATGCACACCGGGTAAAGATTATAAGGTATACTTTTTTTTTTTTAGTTATGAAATTAAAAATGATAATTTGATAAAAAGTTATTATTATAATTTGTATATAATTTATAATATAATTTGTATTTATAAAAAAAACTTACGTATCCACAAGGAATTGTATAGTTATTGGAGTACTATTGCCATTGTTTGGGAAAAACTCAAAAGTAGGATTATTTATTTCTTGCGTATTTGCATTAGTAGCTTTTGTACATCCTCCAAAGTTCATTACACGACCATCAGGTAATCTGGATTAAAAAAACGCGTCAAAAATAATAAATGAATTATTTTTTTTAAAAAAAATTATACATTACGATGGATAATGAGTATAATTAGTAGTAAAAATATTTACTTGACCATAGTATTATACCACCTAGCAGTACTCATATAATTTTTATATTCAGTCCAATCACATGTATGATCATCACACCCAGTAAACATACGTAGAGATTGGCTTCCAGCGCCTATAGTACCAACAATTACGTCACCACCAGTTTCAAGTAATGTGCCATTTGGCATAAAAGAACCAGCAGAGCAAAAGGTATTAGTGGCCAAGTTAAGTACTCGATATTTATTGGTTAATAGATCGTATTCAGATGAAAACGCGCTTGTTCCATTGTCAGTTTGAGCAGCATTCAATTCCACTATTTCATAAAATTAAAAGAATGAGTTAAATGAATATTAGATAAATATAAAGGTAAACTTAAAAATGTAGATTATAATTATGACTAAATTTTTAAGAGTTAAAACTCAATATTGTAGAATAAAACTTTATTGAGTGAAATATTTCGAATTTTTTTTTTAATAGATAAACGAGTTTAACTCATAGCACAAATCATATAAATCATAAAATTATGTTACCTCGGTCAATAATTACAACTTTTGTTGGACGAACAAGAGCTGCATGCATAGCACCTACTCCAGTTCTTTTGAAAAGATAAATTAGTTAGTAAGACAAGTTGTATGTAAACTTTCTATTTTCCAGAGTATACTTAATATTTGATGTTATGCGTAATAAAATGCTTGGCGTTATAATACATACTCTCCTATAATTTCGAAGGTCCCAGCTGGCTGGTCTCTCTCCTCTAAACTTACTGGATTCGCATTAATGTAATTAAATAAAGTGATTATGGATAAAAGGAAATGAAGTAGACCCAAAGCTAGCTTCATGATTAGGAAAAAGTAACTGATGAGAACTTAAATTTTTTTTTTTTGAAGTAAAAGAATGTTAAAACGATATCATATAGAGGAGGAGAGATTTAGATTGACTAGATTTTTTCTCAGAAAAAAAGTATCCTAAAAAAAAACAAAAAACTCGACTTTTAACATTATTGCAGACATTGATGCATTTTATGTTACGAAGTGCTACGTAACGTAAATTGTTTCTAATATTATTATCTTGATAAATTAACAGTATTGGTAATACATGAAAAAAGAAACTCGGAAATGCAGGAATTTATGGTAATATACTTTGTAAGACAAACAAGAGGTAATTTAGCATAAAATGGAAACTCGTAATTAATACCTTCTCCTTTAGAATTGTGGCGCAAAATTAGTTACCTACCCGTTATACGGATTGCCAAGAAAAAAAAAGGTATCTAAGATTTCATTTATAAGTTTTCCCTTTATGGCACTCATATCGATCGATCGATATCTTATTTGCTTACATACAAATTTTATTGATCCTAAAACATAAAACTATCAAGAAAATATACCAGAAACCAGATGGTGTTAAATGACTGATGCTAAGAATAATAATTGGTTTCTTATTCTCTTCTTAATAAATACATATAAAGATATATTAATGTGTTTGAAAAATGAATTAAACGACTTTGTTATTATTAATTCATTATTATAATAAAAAATGCACAAATATTATTAATAGGCCCTTATTGGTAAATATTTTCGACCATAACTAGTATTGCAGTAAATAGGTAATAAATAGATAGTACGTGCTTATACAATATGCATATACAGTACGTACATATACATACTTAATACCCGTATTTGCATGAGCCTACGTATTCAAAGTGACATTACTATATTTGTATTAACCTACATAGTAACCACTTAAGGAAAAAAATAAAGAATATATTATGCGATACGTAGAACTAATTTGTTTAGATACCTAATATATTTACTTCTTAATTAGTGTATATTTTTGAATTGTTTTATCCAATTGGTGCTAGCTTGAATTAAAACTTTGTCATAAAAATCGTAATTAATCGTAACTAAGTATATCAATCAAAAGCGTAGCTAGCAGGGCTTAAAATCCTATAGTAATTTGCGGCCTGCAGCCTATTGTTTGATGTGTTTTTCTTGATTCATCTTATTGTTTACTATACCGGCCAATTATACTATAAATCAATGATATTTTTGAATGGCCGGCATTTCAATATAGTCGTTTAAGTCCTGGTAGCTAGTAATAATACGTAGTAAAGTTAATTCGCTCTATGGTATCAGTATGGTATGTTATTAGTTGTATTAGTATTTAACTTTTACGTGATGAGTAAATTACATTACCCATTTCTAGTAGTAGCTTGAGCAAACGTAATATGATTTTACTTACAATATCAGATGATTGTTTTTCTACTTTAGACACTCTTGGAGTCGGTCTCGAGTGAAGTTGACTCAAGGACCGAGTTTCTAACAACCCTAAATGTAACAGAAAACCATCACTATGCAAAATAATACTTAAATTCCGTTTTTGATGCATTTGAAATTAAATATTATAAATGTAATTCTGAATTTTCTGCATATTTACGTAATATGTAACTTGTACATCAAGCTTTTCTCTTTTCTAGATGCCAAAGATAACGACGTTAGCTATTTTCTTAAAAAATTTTCGCACAATGGTTATTTAATAATTGCTATATCTGAAATCTTGCAGTGACTTTATTGCTATTAAATTCTCTAACTTCTTATAATAAGAAGTTCTCCGAGAAACTCAAATAATATTATTCTATGCGATTTAAAACTTTTTTGTATACACTACATTTACAATTAGAAACATTGTCAATTTGTATAAACTATACAAATTAAAGACAACGTCAATTTGTATGTACTATACAAATTAGAAACAATGTTAGCGAATATTACTACATAAAAATTAGAGATATAATTACAATATAATCTACAAAAATTCACATTTAAAGAAAAAACAATTGCATTCTACTATGAGATTTTGAATTTTATATAAAAATTATCTAACAATTTTCTATTCTATTTTACTAATCATCAAAAAGATTCTTATCATCTAAATATTTTACAATGGACCACCCTAAGTGTGTATTTTCTCTAACCATCTTCTTACTTTTTGTTTATCTTTCTCACGCTCTTTATCTTCAATTTCTGTTTCTTGTAAGTTTTCATTTTGTTGGTTAAAACTGTTGTTAAATGGAAGAAGATCATTCCTTTCTTTTTGTAATGGTTCGCTAAGTCTGACAATGACTCCACAATCAATAGTTTCATGTTGGCTTAAAATTGTATTCATCTCGTTGGTAAGTGCGTATTTCTAACAAATATAAAGTTGATATCATTTAAAATAATTTAAAATAATTAAAAAAAAAAAAAGAGATACTTACAAATTTGCCCATATAAACTAATGCTCTATGAAATCTTGCAAAATAATAAGAAGGTATTCTGGTTAAAGGTATATAATTGTTATTTTCACGAAATAAAGTAATTAACTTTAATTTCGTTTCAACATTTTCAATATTGTCAACATATCCTCCTCGTTTCGCAGCAGGAATATTACGTGGTCGAGTGGTAGGCATAATAAAAGTGTAAATTCTTGAAAAAAAAAAAGAATATTTATTTAATGAAAAATGCGTATGACTGATGAAAAATTATAAATCAATTTAAAAGGTATTTATATGCATTTTTAACTTTTAAATATAATGATTTAAGCTTCATTTTATTAATAAACTTCTTGAATATTACCACTTAGCAAATCACCGTTTAAATCTCAAATTTTATAAAATCCAATTTTTATAAAGTATTTAAAAGGTTCAGGATAGTAAAATAGACTTTTAAGGTATTTTCTAGATTACAATTTTTTATATTTATTTTATCATAGCATCCTTAATAGGAACGATTATGACGAGAATTAAAGATACATAATTAATAAAAATTGTGAGGGACCAACATAAGGTGATTATTAATCATTGGCGGACTTTAAATACTAATTGACCTCACGTTGGAACCAACCTCATGTCCCTCACAATTAATTATTATATGAGTAGTTACGTTACGTTAATTGATGTAGATTTTACTTAGGGTTAGTGATAGGTTAGTTACTATTTTAGATAGTATCAAGAACATGACCACTTTCGTGGGTTTCTGTCACGGGCTTCACTATGTCGTATTATAATTAGCGCCCAAGCTTCGACAAAGTTTTTTAATAAGTCTCTCAATAGGTTTATTTAAAAAATTGATCATCATTATCACTTTGGTCTAACGAACCCGGAGCTGCGATCACCAATTTTTTTTTTTCATAGAGCTGTGTTGATTTGTAAAAAATTACTATTGATAGAATAACCAAGACTATGCAAACATTTTCTTTCACTTTTATTATTTTTTTCGCAATATGGATCTTCAAAAGCGCCGTCGATACCAAAAATTACTATGTTACTCTTCACGCTTAGAAATTTTTATTGCAAATAAAAAAGATGTTCAGAAGAATAAACGTATATTACCTTGTTACTACAGTGGCTGTTGTTACAATGATAAGTTATTTGTAAAATTGTAAAGGCAAAAGTTTCATGAGTTAAAGTGTTTAAAATTTAAGCACTTGGTATTCGCCCTTCTTTTTTTGCTTTGAAGTCATAACAATCGATTGAAGCGTTTGACTGGATTTGTTTAGGCACTATTTGAATAAAATATCATACGCAACTCTAGACAACTCTAGACAACTATACACAACTATACACGATCTACACAACTCTATGCAACTCTACGGGCAAGTACACATCTGATTTATTCTAGAGTAAATACCGATAATTTACGAGAAACTGGCTTTTTCATCGTAAATTCGCTACCATGAAAAAAAAGTATTTGATATCCATTTAATCAAGAGGCTCGTAGTTGGTCTTTTGCACGCATTAGGCTCACGACATGCATATCGATACGTTTTAATGAATACTGCCAAATTAAAACCTGCAAGTGTAATGTTAATCTTTTTAAAACAATTGATATTACGTGATGTGCGTATTTAAACATATCGATATTCAAATATTAAACGTTTACAAATATTATTGAAACAATTAAAAAACAATGACTATAATCTCACATTCTTTTAGGTTCAAGTCTGATACACTTAAATTTTCACTTACAGATTTAACTTTGTAATATGTATTTAAATCAAAGAATCTAATATTGTTCTTTATATATTTAACTTATTTACTATATTGTCAAATTTGAGTAGATCGTTTACATATTTATGTTTCCGTTGTTTTTTATCTTATCTGCTTTATTTGATCAGTATACAAAGAACTTTTTACCCTATTTTGCAATAGTTTCAAATCAAAGGGTCTTATTAAATTTATTGGATATTATAATAAAGTAATAAAGTGTAAATAATTATTAACAAAGATTTAATAAAAGATGAAACCTGAAACAAATAAACTGAAAAAATCAAACAGGGATTATCGATATTGATTTAAATAAAAATGTTAGATTCCGAGATATTTTACCAATACTGTTTATAAGTAAGGATAGCTACTGTCGTGCTCGGAAAACTGCGACTCAGTCGCTCCACAATCCACATTCCAGGATCTTGCGTAACCAATGATAGGTACCTTTACGAAAGAGGAGTGTTAGATTAGGCTGAGGGATTATTAAAGCTTTGGGTTACGTTGGGTCACAAACGTCCGGGAGGTTTTGGTCACGTGAGCAAGAGGTTAAACGAACAACGAATTATAACCTTAAGATTAAGGTGTATATTAGCGTAGCAGTAATTTATGAAATACTATGGGCGATTTATTTAATAAATTAGAACTTATTAATTAGTGAAGCAAACAAGACTCAATTTTCTCAGGTAATTAGGCCCTTTATTTATAATAAACTTTAATTATAACTTATTTTACTAAATAAATCTCGCTTCTATATATTCTTTATTTCATCCGACTATTCTAATTTATTTATCTAAACTATTATACTGTAATTGTAAGATCCATTGTTACCATTATATGCCCTTCCCTGATATATTTAAAAAATCGTTTTAATTGCCGGGATGTCCATATCAAGCAATTGATCTTCCTACTCGCGTTACACGTGATACACCGCAGCTTATTCGAATCATGTTGTTGGGCCTAACAATTATATATAAATCTTCTTGAATTTTTGATAACTATCCGAAAATTTTTTGCGAAATTCCTTTGATATGGAAACCTATTTTTGCAGGATTTAAGGCCATAATTATTAATAGAAGAGTAAATTTGAATTTTTGTAAGTTAGTAGATTTTAATAGAGCCACCAAATTCAGTTTCAACCAACCTCAGTTTCAGCTACCCGATCGTTAATCTATGACATCAATTCCGTACAAAAGGTCCACCGGTAAAAAGAACTGTGACACGATCGACAATCATGTTCCTGCCAGATAACAAGAAAATATTATTAGTATTCTATCAGAATACTATCAATGGCATTATGCATCATATAATTCGAGTGCACAAAGTTGTTATAATGAATAAAAAATAAACTTGGCAACACATAGGACCTCATCTGGTATCGAGAAGAACACGTGATGCCGTCAATAATTCATCCTATCCTAGTACAACGAATAGATACAATTAGGCTAACACATGGTTGATACCATTCCATATTAGTGGTAATCGCATGTATCCTATCCGTGTACTATTGTTATACAACTTATTGATTTGAGTGCACAAAGTTGTTATAACGAATAAAAAATAAACTTGGCAACACATAGGACCTCATCTGGTATCGAGAAGAACACGTGATGCCGTCAATAATTCATTCTAGCACAACGAACAGATACAATTAGGCTCACACATGGTTGATACCATCCCATATTAGTGGTGATCGCATGTATCCTATTCGTGTACTATTGTTATAACTTTCTTTCTAAAATATAAAAAATGTGCAGAAAAACCCAGTGCACAAAAAAAAAATCAAAAAGGCTAAAGCAAATAAATAAAAATTAAGTGCATAATACCTTTTTATGATGGTTAACTAATTCATTATTATCTAACTTTTCTTTTATAAAGTTAATGTAATCGGTTTTTCAGTGTCATAAGTGGTATTTTATATAATTTTTATAGATTATTTATTTAAGCAGAAGATCTGCAAGTGATACAACCCCAAAAAGGAAGCAGCCAATCACAAGCATGAAAAAAATTCTGTGCCATTTTACAATAACTAGATAGCTTCACGACGTCATTGACAAAACCAGAAACGGAAATTTAAAAAAGAAACATCTGATGATTAATATGACTAAATAAAATCACATCAATATAAACATTTATTTAAACTGTAAAACCTCCGTAAGTGCATGCTTTTGGGACCAAACTTTACCTGCGTGTGCTTAGAGACAATAAGAAAATGTATATTTATAGAAGTTAAGTCATGTATATATTTGGGTCTGAACTTAAGCATGCATTTAGAGTGTGTGCACTTATGGACGTTTCAATATATATATATAAATTAAATAAGCGTTAGCCAATCTTTGAGTATAGTGAAACTTCCATAAGTGCATGATTTTTTTTATAAATGCACATTTTCTTATTGTTCTCTAAGTGCACGCACAGATAAACTTTAATCCAAGAGTATGTACTTAGAGGTTTTACTGTAATCGATTAAAAGAAATTAAATAAAATAGCTTTGAATTAGATAGTGATCAAAAAAACCGAATTTGCAATTGTGAATCACATGATATAATTTTGAATTTATCTACTAACGCTAAGCTAACAAAATTTGACTAACTGCAGACCACAATAAATCACACTATTGAAACTATCTACAAATCTATCACTACTAATATGAACCTGCTTACTATGGAATTTACAGACCCACTTATTGTTAGAATTGTTAAAATCTCGAATCTATTGTTAAAATCATAAATCCATCCGCTTTTATAGTCATTAATCAACCACTGTTGAAGTTTATATCAGAACTAATAGAGCTATTAGGGATACTTTAATGATAGCTCTATCACTTCTGATATTATTAGCTGAAAATGACACGAGTCATTAATTTGTGCATATCGAGACCAAAAAAAAACTAACTATTTGTCTGATATGCTTTTATAAACTTAATCATTGTCAAAATTATAAATTATATACTGAACCTGAAGCATTGGAATTTGCCGTAATAAAACTGAGTTATATAACTTTTTGCCAACTTAGTTTTATATGAAACTTGTCGTACTTGTTATATTATATTTTTTTAGGTTGATTAGACAGAAAATTTTTGTTTTCGAATAAGTTATTTTGGCTATTGTCAACTGCTTGAGATGTAATATTTTCTTTTCGCTCTTGAAGTGGTTTTGACAATTGTTAGGAAGTAGAGGGCTGCATATAAAAAGTTGATTGTATTATGATTTAATTTAGATAATAGGAAAGCTATCATTATTTAGAACCGAATTATCTTTTTTTATATTCATTATAGAAAAAACTTTCATTAATAGACAATAACATATAACCTATTTTTATTACATCAATGATTGATATACAGTGAAACCTCATAAGTGCGTCCTTTATAAGTGCACACCCTTTCTAAATACAAGCTTAAGCTCAGGCCTAAATATATACATGAC